TTTTAATTTTACATATTTTATGAAATAAATAAAACTTGTATAAATATAAAATTTACGTTGTTTTCTTTTTGTAAAGAATATTTAATAATTTTTGGTGCAAAAAATATACATTATCTAAAGCAACTTTCTAAACAGGGAGACGCGAAAAATGTACTAGAATTATAATTTAAAAAAAAATGGAATTTATGCTGATCATTGATGTTGTTTTATAGAAGGATTTTAAGTTGCGCGGGTGAATGAAAGAAAATCGTTTGGGGGTTCAAGATGGTTCATTAACTACTCCTTACACTATACAGTGTAACCTCGCTTAACGAGTTTAATCCGTTCCAAAATTTCTTGATTTTTACTGTATAGTGAAATACTCATATAGTGATACATATTCAAAAATACACATAATATGTGTACACAAGTTTTGAAAATGAGTTAGAAGTCGCGCAATCTGGGACTTCTCAACATCACGTTTTATGCGATACGCAGCCTGTTAAGCAAGTCATTTTGCTCGTTAAGCGAGGTTCCACTGTATTAATTGTAAGAGTGCATACAAAAAAAACGTTCCAGAAAAATCATGTAAAAATGAAATGTTTACTAAAAAGCGGAGTTTTATTTTTATATAATTTTGATGAAATGATTCGCTGTTTGCTACAGTTAAAAAAAACACAAATAGTACAAAATAAACATCTCTTATCACTAATAACGCAAGTTTTCAAAAGCAGGCGAGCAATCCGGGACTTTTCTTCTCATCGTCACTCGTTATGCGAAACATCGCTCGTTAAGCGAGTCATTTAACTTACAATTCATTTTGCTCGTTAAATATACAGTAGAACCTCGCACTGTATATTTTTCATAGTGTTTGCAAGCAAACATACAAACCTGTGTAGTTGGTTACCTATAATAAAGAAATGAGGACAATATAAAAATGTAAAAACCTTATTAATGTAACATTTTCTATATAAGAAATTGTGCAACGCTGATCACAGCTGAATTCTGCAATAAAACACTATAAAAATTGAACCCTAAATACAAAATTCTCTATCAAGTTGCGATTTAACAGAATTTCGCAAAAAATATACGATATTCGCGCAAAATTTTGTTAATTTTAAGAATCTTTCAAATTCTAAATATCGACGATTGTTTCAGCGATGTCATTCTAGTTCTAGATTACAATTTTTATTTAATTATATATTGGCGTTGAATAATTATACGGCGTGGTTATTCTGAAATTAAAGAAAACCGAAGATGGTGAACTTTCAACTTCGACAGGACGTATTAGACTGCTAGTATGTTCTTTATAAAGATAAACCATTCGTTTTTAATTTGCAAATTTTATGATATAAGTATCTTTTGTAGTTGTTGGGTTATGCAAAAAAAATGTAATGACATTAAAAAATTGATGTAGATGTCCCATTAAAGAAATATCATTTTTGCAAAAGTATAAGTCAAATTCACATTCATCTGGCTACTATCACTTACTTAACCAGAAAATAACAGTAGGAACAAATTAAGCTTTTTCAGTCTGCATTCAAAAATTTGCAGAATTAGGTACAAATGTAATGAAAGAATTTTGAAAAAAACTTATCCATATGCATACTTTCTCCTAGTGTCCGCAACCAAACTTGTATATTTGGTTGTATATAATTTACAAATGAGCAAAAATTTACAAATACACAAAAATTGTGCGAATTTATGCAACATTTCGGTAATTTTAAAGGCCTTTCAAAAACAAAATATTTGCTAGAAGATTTTTCAGATTACGATTCTTATAGTATGATGTAAATATCCTGAAATTTAAGAATACGTGAATATGATCCTTTTCAGCAACGTCAATTTTAACAGTTCGTTGTAGACGAAGGGATGACAGCACGAAGATTCCTGTCGGCTCGTTGAAAAGTTGAGACTTTCAGCTTTAGTTTGAGTATTCGATGATCTAATTAGCTTGCAAAGTTCTATTTTCTTAGCTTAAAAAAAATCTCTGATTAATTCATATATGTAAAATTATGAAAGGAATAAAATTAAATAAATGCAAATTATATAAAAAAATCTATATTTCATACAAAAAATATTCTTAAAAAGGTGCATTAAAATCTTCAGTAAGGATATTAATCATCAGGTCCAACAGTAATAATCTTAATCATATTATTCAAATTATCTACATATTTATAAGAGCAATCTAAATTAAAGTTTTTAATGAATTCTAAAATCACCAAATGGTTACTTGAAAGTCCCTTCTCTTTTAAATTATTCACGTTGAATATCGAGATGAAGTAACACAGCAACTCGACGAAATCATTGCAAATATTCTTATAAAACTCCTGATCATCAATCAGTTGAGGCATGATATTCAACAGAGTGAAGAAAAGCTTATGATTGTGAGCATTCAAAATTGGGCTCACATAGTTCAATGTTTTAATGGTAAAACTCAAATCGTCACAGCACAACTCAAACTCAACATCTTCCTGGTAGCTGATTAATATATTGTTGACAATTTGTAAAGCCTCATCTGTCAACTCATCAATGTCCAACAAAAAGTCCAATTCAGTCGAGTTGCTCACATAAGTACATATATTTACAAGAATTTGCAACCAGTGGTTAGTTGTGCTCTTGATATTATCCAATCGATAAATATTGAACTCAGTGTTGCTCTCACAATCACAAATTGTCTTAAATCCCTCCAAGCAACTTTTAAACAGATTACCGTTCATCATTTTCAAGTCCAGTTTTTTGTCATCAGTAATCCTGCATATTGCATCCATAGCATTCCCAAGTAATTGCACATTCATAGAATTGCTCAATATAAAACATATCTTATCCAGCAAATCCCCATTGATGAAGCTCAAATCAGAAGTATTATGGCACATCACCTTGATAAATCTCATAACCTGTATTAAAATGAAAGGATCATCTGAATGAGTGAAGCTAAGAACAATATCAATCTGCTCTGGCATCAACTCCTGTGCATTCTTCGATATACAAATATTGCTCAATATTCCAATTAAAATCTCTGTGAGCCGATTAACTGTTTCTGTTAATATTACATCACACACCAGAGATGGGAAGCTTACATCGAATAAGTAATCACACACATCTGGTTCTACAGTCATATCCCAAATGAAGCACAGGTCTTCTTCCAAATCCTGAGACCACTCTAGCTTATTGAATCTAAGCAATGTTTTTACTACAAACGATTCACTGTACATGGTCTCACCAATCAGATCTCCCTTCAATTTAACCTGAGTATCATCATCTACTTCAGAGGCATCAATATTTGATATTTGTAAATTGGTCAGTTTGGTATCATCAATGTTTTCATCCAAATCTTCTTTTGTTTGCACTTCATCATTGGGTTCTTCATCATGGACACCATTGGTTATTACCGCTTCTTCTGCAACATCACCATTTTCTTGTACTTCGTTCATGTTAATAAATTTGACTAAAATAAAAACACAAACAGATACAATTATTAAACTTTGAATCGTTTAGTAAACCATGATGTAAACAACGATGCTAACATATTTTTTAACTGACAGTCGTTTTTTTTTACTTTTCACCTAACTTCACTTTAGTCATTATCTATGAATTAAAATTATTGTCTTTGCATTAAACTACTGTTTATCTATAATTAAATATAGTTATAATACGTAATATAATTAAATTCCTGTTTAAATATATTATTTAATCAATATAGATGTAAAGTTGTATATCTCTTGTATGATAGGCAAACAATATTACAAGGATTTTCAAAATTAATTTTAGGAAACTTTAAGTTAAAATTATTTATTTATATCTATTTATTATATTTATTTGTTTGTATTTACTTTCTATATATAGTATTTACCATTGATTTCACTGGCTATATGTACCTGCAGATGCAAGCTAAGTTGTATACGTCTATTCTTTTAACCCTTTCAAATCTAAATTTTTAATATTGGAAATAATTTTTTGAAACATAAAATATTGTATGGTACTCATACAAGAACTTTCCCATCAAGTTTGAACTGATTTCCTCCATAGGTATAGAAACCAGGAAGTCGTGGCAAATGCCATCATCAAGTCTAACAGATAAAAATATAAACATGTTTGTTATTTATGATATTGAAAATTGCAAAAACTATAGTTGCAACTGATGCTGATGCTACAGATAATTTGGCATCAAATATAGGCCCGATACTTGCAACAAAAGAACTTCAAAACTGCTTGAACCAAATTGAAAAATGGTTAAAAAATGGCGAATTAAAACAAATGAAACAAAATTAAGTCAAGTAACATTCACCCTAAAAATAATGTAATTCCAGAAGCTTATGATTCCAAATACTTGGGTATAATTTTAGATCGCATACTTACATGGAAAAAACATATAAGAACTAAACGGAAGCAACTAGGAATAAAATTCGCTAAATTATACTGGTTGATTAGGAGAAGATCACAGCTATCAAGAGAAAACAAAATGTTAATATATTAGGCAGTGTTAGAACCGGTGTGGACCTTTGGTATCCAGCTTTGGGGAACAGCGAGCAACCATTCCGCTCAGTGTTATATTTTGTTACTGTTTGAAAACTATTTACTCAGCCAGCATATTTCAGATTGCAAAAAATACATTTATTAGAAAAAAAAAATATTGAAAATTGATTTTTTTAAACAATTCTTAAATTTATATATGCAAAAAGGCACTTGGTATTTCAATATTTTCCTCAAGAACCTAACAACATATTTTGTTTCATTCATTTCATTTGGGTGTCCCAAACTAAACCTAAACATTTTCTTATTTTTTAATGCGACTTTCAATTATATTATTACAAACACAACATATTTCCACTCTGCAGTTGTATCCCATACAATACTGTTTACAACGTTGTTCATAGCCACATACCCATTAACCAAGATTTCTATATCTGATGGTTTTTGTCGTTTATCATCTTCATTTTCTTGCTGACTTTTACTCAATGTCTTCATCAATTTCATTACTTTCATATCAGCTTTAGTCTTCTACATCTGAATCTGGTAGTGCTGATATGGTAACCTATACATCTCGCAAGTTTATATATATTCATTGAAACTTAATTTAAAATACCATAAAACTGCATTGGGGATATGCCATCATCATATATATAAATAAAAACAAACATTTTGTCAAACTAGACAAAACACCCACTTAATGCATATACAAATTTCATAGAGCTATGAGAATGTTTTTTGTGTGTAATAACCACACATAACTTTCGTATAGTAAGTTCATAAACCTTACACATTACATTCTAGACAAAATAATATAAATATTATTTTTTGTATAAAAAAATTTCATATTATATCTAATATATCTTCTTTTTTTTCAACCATCTATTTTATATAAAATAATAAACCGGACTGATAACAATAAAAACAAAAAATACAAAAGAAGTCAAGGGTTTGGTTCAGTAACCAATCTTAACATAATCACTTTGAAGGCACACCCAACTGCTTATTCTAAAAACGATTTGGTAGCTATTGGGGCTTGAAACGCTTCAATCTTCGGCGATGGTTCTTTGTGTTAGTCAGCTCCACAGCAAGGGGGTTTGGGTGAATATCCAGCCGGTGTTGGTAATTAACGCTGAGTTTACTTATCTCATCCTTCACTAGTTTGGTGTCGTTGAATGAATGAATATCGTCGTTTATGATATACCACTGTACCCCGGTGACCATTCTCAGCGTCTATGATTGGAACCTCTGGATCACATCAATAGAAGTGTTACATGCAGACCCTCATAATTAAATATATCTCTGAAGCTATTATTTTCCATAATAACGAAAAGATTCAAATATGATAAGAGTTAGTAACGAAATCTGTATTCAGTTATAAAATAGAACACTTTACATGGTAAATACCATTGGCAGGTCCGAAAGGTTTTAGAATGGAGGGATAAGTAGAAGAAACTTTAATTATAAATAACAAAATCAATAATTATACATATTTACTTTAATAAAACAATAAATAATTTAACCAATCAACAAAGTACTTTAACAAACAAACACAACAGCGATTATTAATTTAGTTCAGATAGAAGCGGGATAAGAATACAAAGAATAAATGCAATTGAATTCATGATAAATTATTGAAAAAAAGCCTTTAGATGCAAGCACATATTAAATAATCCTCGAGCATTTGAATTTTTCTAATTGTTTTGTTCGATTAAACAATAAAAACGATCAATATAATATTTTTTTATAAATCATAGATTTGTCTTAAATTATTTTTATATATATATATATATTCACCGAATAACATATAACACCTACAATTAGAATATTATTAGTTTTTTTCATGTAATAAGGTACACTCGTAAACAGTTAAAAAATATTTCATAAACTATATATTAAGAAAGAAACAACGTAGAATGTGTCGACTATCCAATAAAAACCCCGTCTTCCTAATGATGATGCATCGTACACGATCCTCGAATAATTATATAACCAGATATGCACACCATATGTACTGTAGATTTTTTTTTGTTGCAAAAAAAAAGGAATAAAAGCGTTCAACTTGGTCGTCTGATTACATAATTGACTTATTACAATAATACATTTTGTTTGTGTGTGGTTTAACACTACAAGCATTCTCTTGTTGAGTTTCTACATGGCACATCAATCGTCTACGCTTATAATCATATATACTGAACATTTGCTCCAGAACAATGGGAAACTCACCATTTCCATTGGAAGCGAACAAACAAGATTATTTGTATATCACATTTAAAGCGAAACACCTGCATCTGATTTATCACTACTACAAACTTAATGCTAAATATTGAAGATACAATTTAGGATACTACCTGAAAACCCCGAGAGTTTTTCCATTAACAAGAAATTACTCAAATTATATAACTGAATTAAATATAAATTGTTTTAATTTGGATATATTATTGTTACATATATTATTTTTTTTTTTTCGTTGATTGTAGTTCTTAATTATTGAAATTTCTGTAAAAAGCAAATCAATTTTATTCCTATTTCTATAATATATTAGTCAGTCGATAATGCGTGCTGTATCCCAAGGATGATTGAACAAGTCAAATACTTAAAGAAAACTTTGTAACATTATTCGAGAAAAGTCGCAAAAAAATATTGTTTTTTATCAAGTTTTCTTTAAATATATCACTTTATATCAGCCTGTGTATCCCCAATAGCTTATCAACTATTTACCTCAATATATTTTTATTTGTAGATATATAAGTTCCCTAAAATGTATGTATATATGTATAACAATTTAGTATTTCAGACCCAAATTCGAAGAAAATCATTTTGTAATGTAGATCCATCGAAAAAATGTGTATTTTTATTTGGTGTTCTGCAGATAATCAGTTTATTGTTCAGGTGTTGCACGGAGGACATTGCTGCGGTTTGCTGTCGTGTTGCGTAAGCTTCTCGTGGATGTACTCCTGCACATTGAAGCGGTTCTCATCCTTTTGGCCGCTCTGTCTGTACTTCAGTTCTCTACAACAACAGAAGAAGAAAGAAAAATAGAGAAAAGAAAAACTTATTACTCTCACATGAAACTACTAATTACGTTACGAAACGTCAAACTCGTTCCGGACGAACTTTCGCAATTAATTAAAAGTTCCTTTTCGAAAGGGCTTTCCGCATTCAAGTAACTTGATTCCTGAACGAAACTCGCAGTTATTTGAAAAAAATCAAATTACTCATTAATCAAATTTCATTTAAATACGTTTGGAAAATATTAGTTTACACTTTACATATTTCCTCTTCGCTTTGTTTTTCTTCTAAAGCTCATGCAATTATCAACGTGATTTTAGTAACGCAGAATGCAAATTTGCCATAACATCAAGATTGCTAAATAAAACAATTACAGTTTATTCATGATTGTTGTCATTAAGGGTTTGAATTGGGCGCGTTTCGGAGTAGTTTCAAACTTGGATTGAAAATGTTGAAGGGAGGCTAGTCGCTAGAGGACACTTGATTCGAACAAAAGTTTAATTGAATTTAAATTGGTTAAAGTAGATTATATAAGTGCATTCAAGCTTTAGAAAATGCAGTCTTTTTTTTCTTAATAAGTTAGGAAATTACCTTGCTATTGCGAGGAAAGCGAGATCGACGTTTTGGCCACTCTTCGCTGATGTTTCCATGAACGCCACGTTATATTCCCTGGCCAATCTTTCGCCTTCTTCTCGCCTCACCGCCCTCTCGACTCCAGCATCCGCCTTATTACCTAAAATAAACGTAATTAAAGTTATGTTAAAAACTGTTTTTTTTTTCATTACCTAGAAGCATGATGACGACGTCGTCTTGTGCGTACTCGCGAATCTCGCCCAGCCAAGCCCTGATATTGTCGAAGCTCGTTTTATTGGTGACATCGTAAAGCAGTAATAACGCTGCAAATGCTCGTTTTAGCAAAACTTTAAGTAATTCAGTTGAGTTTCAGTTACCGTGCGCGTCCCTGTAATACGCGTGAGTGACGCTCCTGAATCTCTCTTGTCCAGCCGTGTCCCAAATCTGCAGCTTTACCCTAGTCTGATCCACGTTCACGACTTTATTCTAAAAAGTAAACACAAATTATAAATCTTGCAATTAATATATAAAATAACTCGCATAGTACGAGTATTCCAATCCGCACTATTTGAAACAGGACTAATCGAGAAACTAAATCAAACTGTACAAAAATAGATTTTAAACAACGATAATTCAATTAACATTTAGAAATGTGCAAACCGGACTGTTCAAACCCGCTCTATGCGAGGTATTGCTGTACTCCAATTTGAGCAAAGCATATTGTAACTCTGGTGGATGCGCCGGGAGATGCCTGAAATGTTTATTGTTTATTCATCAAACGAACACAAAAGCCTTTGATGAAAAAAAACAACATAGAAAGGTTGAAACATGAAAATAAAACTTTTTTAATTGATTAATATTGGACATGTAACATTTTTTTATATGAAGCCAGGACAAATATGAGTAAAAAAATCTAAACTAAATCAACAAATATTTACTTTCATGTTATATTATTGTTTTTATAACTATTTGTAAAGCTGAATTCTTTCAAGCGACGAATACTCCAATTTACGTAACAAGTTTTTATTTTAAGTTTTGATTGTGAATCGCTTCACTGATTTCAACCAAACAAATCGTTTGCAACCTTTACATTGCATTGCTTTGAAGTCGATATTTTTCTGCAGATTCAGGGAAAAACTAAATCATACATTTTTGATAAAACATTTATTTTCCTGGAATGTATTTTCGTGTTCAGTTCGCAGAATTATTAAATATTTCGCTCGAAAATCTACCAAATACGGGAAATTTTCTAATTTCGCATTTTGCACAATAAATAATTTATCAATCCTATTTTGATCTTCCATTAACGTATTTGGGTCAAGGCATCAAATCCATTCTGTTTGCGTTTCCCATCGAATTTGGCTTAATCAAACGACAGCGCAGAACAAGTTTTAAATTGAAATTAAACGGAAATGGGAATCCTTAAGAACATGTCACAGCAGTCAATAGTTCCGAAGATGGATTGCTCAATGCGAGGCAATTTATATTTAGTTTAAAGCCGTTCCAGTACAAAGACGTAAGAAGCAAAGTCATGATTAATTCCTTATTTTCTGTCCAACAAATCACCGCGGTTTCAAACAATTTACGTAAAGCAACAAAGGCCTGTTGTGCGATTTACATGGTTTACATGTAACTATTGATTTCGAGTATCGATTTTCGTGGTCTTTAATTAAGGGAATTCGCGCGAGTTTCCAATGATGATGCGAAGCCTCGAAACCCAATACGTACTCTTTTGTCGATCCATGATTAATGCATCTCTCGATTTACGCTCAGGCCTATAGTCCAGGTGTGCTCCGGTTATTGTGCATTAGTTGACACGGAACTCCATCACCGGTCTTTAATTATACTCGAGGGGGATATTACAAGATATTACTGGGCGTTTTGCCTGGACGAAGACAATATTAGAAGCATTCCAACTTTGACCGGTCCAGAGGAATTCCGTCATTATTATTTTGTCCAACCGGACGTGACGTTCATATTTCACCAAAAAAAAGTAATATCACACGAAAAATGCGCGTACAAAAGGCTTGTAACAAAGTTCATCGTATTGTGAAAGTATGTACAAAAAGGGGTAAAATAGAAAGTTTCTAAAACGAAACAAAAAACATATTTTTTTACAATCAAAATCATACTTGTTCCATACAAAATCCAACAATAAAAATATATATTAGAGTGCGCCAATACACCATAGTTTCCAAAACAAAATAGGAAATGTGTATTTTTTACTCAAAACCAGATTAATTTTGCAAAATTCGAATACTTTACAACGTTTTAAATGATTTTTTTGTGGTTTATCAAAACTGAGTATTTTCTGTGCTTCTTCAATCGTCTTTAATTCATGCAACCCAATTTGCAATTGTTACACATGAAAGAGGATACTTACATTTTTTTTCTCAATTAAAAGTTAGTTTATTTTGATATTTTTAAAATCATACTTGTTTAAATATCCACATAAGTAAAATTAACAAAATTGCAGAAATTCACCAAAGTTTCTAAAACAAAATAGGAAATATGTATTTTTTTGAACCAAAATTATTTTGGAAAATTCAACTATAATTCGAAGATTTTCTATGACAAGACGTGATGGAACAAATTTTTTTATCTGAAATAAAGCCATCTCCTGTCTTTTCCTTTCAACTTGCGTGTTCAGCGATCTTAGTTCATGTTCCGAAATACTCATTTTTTAAATATATATATTCACTAGGAGGACATCTAAGAAGAGTTTCTGTTTTGTAGAGCAATAAAAACTTAATGAAAGACGTAATGGAACGGATGTTTCATTCTTTTCATGACTTACATTGAAAAAAAACATATGTGAAGCACCAGTTATGCTAGGATCGGGCTTTCATTCAAAAGTTAAAGAGCTTGCACTTCAAGCAAAGGGTTAACATTGCATGATTCACCGATTTGCCCATGATACTAAGACTCAAAGCCTTTACAAGAAGTGCTCGACTCTTTGGTGTCACTTGTCAATTATATAAAATCTAGTGCTCTCAATAATAATTTGTTGAAAGAACTATGCAAAAACATGAACTCTGATCACGAAGTTATTCTTTTCTACACTGCTGTTTGTTGGTTATCAAAAGAAAGTTTTTTATTTCAGTGAGAATGGTTACATTGGTATGTTGAATTGAATTGAATGCCCCTGCAAGCCTTAGCTCTTTCGGCATGAATGAAGGTTACAATTTTATTTAAAAACAGAAACAGTATTGTATATAAGGTTAAAATAATTATCAGTTGAAGTGTGGCTGAAAATGTGATTGTAGTGTTGTCAATGAGATTATGTAGTAATTCCATGTCGATTGAATGCAGGATTGATGTTTTTTTTTTATCAAAAGGAAGTATTGTTGGCCGAGCTATTGAATTAAAAAACGAAATAAAGCAGATCCGTGAAATAAAAGCAAACATGAGTTTATGACTTATATATGTGATATCTTAGATCAGCCTGGACTCGACGTCTAATCCCAGAAATAGAGCCTTGAATAAGCAGAAAGAACGTTGAAACAACATTTCACTTGAGCCAGGCGCTGTCTGGGTCTGGTCATGGACGCTTTTCGCAAAGAAGGAAGACGAAAGGTGCTGGTACTGTGAGGAGGACAATAGCAGACGTGGCAGAATTGGGAAAATGCTGAAGAGTGCAGAAAGCTGGGAGATTGTAGCAGCAGGTGGAGGTAGTGGAGGCCAGCACTAACATTTTCCAACGGAAGTGCCAAACAGGCAAAGACAATCAGCATCGCAGAGTAGTACAGTCCTGTATGCTGACAAAGAAGAGGAGAGGTTTTAGTGTGGTAAGAATCCCACAGTACCACGACTCACGCGTGGTCTCTATGTTTCCTCTCCTCTACAAAAAGGAAGATTAGCTAAATTTGAAACTGCAGGGTAAATAAAATGAAATCATGTAATCAGTAAATCATGAAAGTTTTGCCATGTTTGAACACCTTTGAAGTAAATCCTAAAATATATTTCATCAAACCTTTTTTAAAGATCTAAAAAGGGTCACAATTAATTAACAAAAAGGCTGTGTTTTCTCTATGCTTTTTTTAATCGTGTATTATTTATGCAACCCAATTTGCAACTATTACACATGAAAGAGGATACGCACAATAAACCGCACTCAACTTTTTTTTAATAAACTATTAAAACATGAATGTTTCTTACACCAAACTTTACTTAGTAAGACGTGCATAAAAAAATTGTATATCAAAATTATATAAATTTCAGTACAAGTACAAGTACAAGTAACGAGTTTAATCCATTCCAAAATTTCGTCACTCGTTATGTGAGTCATTTTTCTTATAATTCATATAGCTCGTTAAACGAGGTTCCACAGTATTTATATTTGTATGATGCTCTAAAGCAGTTATTCTCAACCACTATGTCACTGCACTTTTGTGTGCCGCCAAATTCTTAAAGTGTGCTACCAAATTTTAGAAATGTATATAGTAAAAATTATAATGCACAGTACATTATAGGTAAGTAAACAACTTTTAAACTTATCTTTTTATTTTGTGTGCCGTCAAATTTTGAAATCGTTAAAAGTGTGCCGCGACTAAAGTTAAGATAATTCAATAGGTTTAGAGTCTAAACCATTCGAATGATTATAAATCAAATAATTGGAAAGTAAAATGAACTACACAAGTATATACAAACACATATTTCATAATGTATAGATAATTATTATTATATGAAAAAGGAAATCTTCATTTTTTTGAAATTATTTAGTTGTGTGTTGCAATATTTATAATTCAATTAATTTATTTTGGGCAATCTACATTCAATGCTATAACTTTAATGATGGATATAACTTATACAATATTTGAGATCAACTTTTTCCTATTTGGAAAATTGTAATTAGCGTATAACAAATAAATAATTTATAAAACCATTCATTCTCACTATATGTATAGATTTTTTTTTATCAAAGAGTAAACAAAACCATTATAATTGAAATATATGAAGTAGCAAATTTACTATGAACTGCTTTAAGTGAACATTAATTACATTAAGTTTTTGATTAATGTTTGTATTATTCATTTTAAAACAGTATTTTGAAAATTTTTGTTTCATGGCACCCTTGAACCTAAAGTTAAACTATGAAAATCATTGTTTTAGAGACTGTAAAATCATTCTCTCTTTTCAATTAAATCATATTATTGACCAATTTTCAAATATTTGGCTTTAGTGAGCCATATCTCACGACGTAAAGGCGACATAACGCTTTAAAAAAGTTCTTAGACAGTTTTGTGTTTAGTGAATCCAGTTGTATGTTAGACCGTTCCAAAATGGAGGTAAATACAAAGAAAATTCGATACATTCTTCTGTACCACTACTACCAAGGATAAAAGCGGAGCAGGCTGTCATTTTTTGTGTGTTTTTTATGGACCCAATACAGTATCGAATGCAACAATAAAGCGTTGGTTCCAAAGCTTCCGTTCTAGTAATATGGACGTCGAAGATGAGACATTTCTAGTAGACCAATTGTCGAA